TCTCCAAGCTCAGCACCTTCTGACCCTCCCCTCCCCCACCCAGCAGGAGGCTGGGGGCCCAGGAGCTGGTCTCTGTCCCACAGAGACTTTGCTTCTTGCCCTGACTCCCCGGTTGCTCACAGCAGCCAGGAGAGGGAGGCAGCACAAGATGAAGCACCCCAGTTTGTAGACAAAGGTGCTGAGGCAGAGCCAGCCTCAGAGAGAATGAGAGTCCGTCCCAGCTCTTCTCCTGCCTGAGCTTTTACTGTGATAACACGGCCACTGGAACCCCAAAGGCGGGGGAGAGTCAGGGAAAGGAGTGCAGGTCACCAGGGGTCAGAGGACCAGGTTTTCATCAGGGTCATGCTACTGACTGGCTGGTCACTGTCTGACCTCAGGCAAGGCTTGAGTCTCTGGGCCCCAGGGTCCCTCCCGCACAACCTGGGACAGGGTTGTTTCTCTCGTGGGTGGGGTGGGAGGATGTCCCTGTGAGAAGCTGGGCATAGGGCCCCCCACTGGAGCAAGCCACAGGTGTGACGCTGCTCTTGGCCCTCCCTCTCAGTGCGGGCAGGGGAATGGAAGCAAATGGCGTGGAACAGCCTCAAAGGTCTCTGGGAGTGGGCTGGGCAAGGATCCCTCCACTGTGTGGTGGCCAAAGAATATATATATTTTTCCTCCCACATTCTAAGTTCTTCCAGGCTGGACTAATAACCAAATTAGCAGGAGAAAAATCAAAGTAATCCATGTGCATGGAGAATTTACATAAGCATGATCATCGCATGAAAATTCCAAAGACAATGAGGCAACCCAGGTATAGAAAACACAATGGACAAAGGAGAAAGGGGTGAGAACAGGGTATGAGATTCAGAAGTGAGAAGGGGCCATGTGCAGGTAGTCGAGGGGGACTGGAGTACATGTGACAGGCAATCCCTTGTTGTGTGGCTCAGAAACAAGGGGACACTGGGTATCTGGCTCACAGGCACCTGCCTGAAGCTCTTGCTCATCAAACTTAATTCAAATTAGGCTAAGGTGACATCCTAACCTCTCCTCCTGAAGCAAGTTTGTCTGTCTGAATCTCTTAGGTAGGAGGGTCAAAGGTTCTTTCTGAGGTTTTTTTTCCTTAACAATTTAAAATCAATATTCCTAGAAGCAGCTTCACGGTGGCAGAATGTTGGTCCTCAAGAAGAGAGGGTAGCGGTGGGGGCCATGGGTGGGGGGATGGGCCAGTGTTACACAGCGCCAGGGGAGGGTTGGTTAGCATTCTTGTGTCCTGGAGGCTCCAGAGCAAAGCATGTCCAGGTCCTTGGAAAAACTGGCATCTTGGGCTAGATGCCAAGGGTGATGTATGGTAGAGGACCCGCCGGCATCCCGATGCAGGACAAGGAGGTTCCCTGCCCTGAAGCCCCGTGGGTCCCGCAGAAACAGAGGTCTGGGGTCTCTTCGAAGACCCCTTATGGCTCTGGACGTTGTGCTTGAAGGTGCGCACCCACGCTTTGCTCAGGGTCGGAGCCAGTCTGGGGTCAAGGCCAGGGTGGTGGTGCCTCTGGGTGGGTTTCAGCCTGACACCTCGTCTGGGCAGGGGCTGGGGCTCAGTTGGGATGAGGTAGATGCAAAAACTGTGTCCACACCAGAGGTCTCAGGGGATGAGAATTAGCATGCAGGGAACAGTCGCCAGAAGTTCAAAAGCAGAATCAATATCCAGGACATTTATCCAAAGAAGCCCTTTGTGGCCTCTGTGGGCCCTGGTGGGAGACACAGACCACAGTGAGGGGAGGTTGAGCGGAGACCTAACGTATAGTTTGCCTGAATGACCCCGAAAGGAGCAATCGTGTGTGTGTGTGTGTGTGTGTGTGTTGCCAGAGTGAGAATCTGAAGGCTGAGTGTTGAGAGCAGGGGGCAGAGGAGAGGCCCACAGAAAGCGTGTCTGACAGGTGGGGGGGCGGGTGCAGCTGGAGAGACAAGGATGGGGTGGAAGGGCAGGGAGTGCAAGAAAGTCAGGGAGAAGGTGAGAAAGTGGAGGGAGAGAGAGCGAGAGAGATCGAGAGAGGATGGGAGAGAGGGGCGCGCACACACATAAACACACCCAATAGAGGACCAGAAATGGTTGAAAGAGAGATGGTGAACCAGAAAGAGGGCGAGAAGCCCAGAGAAAGCAAGAAAGACCTGCGTGGGTAGAGGGACCTTGAGGGGCAGGATCCAGAGAAAGAAAGAGAAACCCAGAGAGTGGGAGATATCAGGGAAGAGACATATCTACCCAGAGAGAGGAGAGAGACAGATGCTGGGATACAGAGACAGGAAGAGCAAGAGTATGGAAGCATGACTGAGACCTGCCCAGACAGAGGGACAGATGTGGCTGAGAGCCTGAGAGACCTGAGAGATACAAGGACCAACAGGGACAGAGATCAATGGAAAGGGATCTGGCGAGATCAGATCTGAGTGGGACAGGACCAGACATCAAAAATAGAGAAACACAGTAGGAGTCAGAGAGGAAAATACATTTACTAGAAAGAGAAACTAAAGACCAAAAGGGAAAGATGGAGGATGGTCATGCACAAAACTAGGAAGGGAGGAAAGAGGCCGAGGGTGGTGCAGAAGTAGGTTTGCTCAAACCTTAGCGCCTGGGACGACCCTCGGGGTTCTGATAGCCTCACACACGCCCCAGGGAAAGGGCTCACACATTGTAGAAAAAATGGGAGCTAGGATGTGTAAGCACCTGCTGAGCACCTGCTGCATACCAGGCCCTGGACCAGGAGCACGGGCACGCTCATCTTTCTGCATCAGAATTGTTTATTGTTGTGTGTTTTCACAAAACTGTACTCCCCGAGGATAGAGATCGGGTCTCACACTGCACACAGGAAGTGCTCAGGAATCCATTCATTGCAGAATGAATGTTTGAATGGACAAGCGGACAACTGAATGCTTGTGCAACTGAGCCAGGAGACACAGACCCCCAAAAGCGGGCTACAGGCTGACCCTGACTACCCCACGCTGGAGCGGGGCCAGAGTGTCGTAGGGGCAGACCACAGCATAAGTGTGAGAGCTGGGGCTCGGGTGGTGGGCGCGATAAAGGGCCACCTTCTTCATGTGCTGTTTTCCACCTCTGTGCTCTCTTATTGGGTGCCAGTCATGCTTGCAAGCACTTTACCTTCATTGCCTCACAGCAATCTTATGACGTAGCCATGACTATGACATCGTTTAATAGAGGAGGAAACCGAGGCTCAGAAAGCCTAAGTTACTTTCAAAGGTCAGATATCCGGCAGGACTGAAGGGTCAACATAACACCAGAACTAAGCTCTTACCCCCTCGTGATCCTGCTCCCCCTGAGTAATCCCACCTGATATTGGTCCATGGCATGTTGGCTGCTGTAGCTTTTGCAAACGTAGCATATCGTCGTCCTCATGACAGCTTGGTAGAAAGAGCTGTCGAACCAGAGTTGTTATTCCCATTTAAGAGATTAAAAAACAGGAAGGATGGAGGGATGTGGGTACAGCACATGCTCACGTGTAGCAGACTCTGGACTGGAGCCTGGTCGGAGCTCTGCCCAGAACACGGTGCTGCTAAGAGGTGCCCACTGGTGTTGGACAGAACACCTCACACCAAGTAAGTTGTCTGGGTGCTGGAGCCAAAACAGGGTGCCCAGCGCAGGCCATCAGGAGGATGAGATTCAAGGGCTCTTGAAATAGTATATATGAACTTAAATACTGGCTCTGGACGTTGACATTGGGCAAATTGCTGAACTGCTGAACTACTCCATGCCTAAAACGGAGATAATAATAATTGTACCTTGTTAGTATTTTATGAGAATTAAGTGAATTAACATTTTTAAACCACTTATAACCATGTCAGTGCATAGTAAGAATTTGATGTGTTGTTAAATAAATCAAATAAGTGAATAAACAAACAAACAAACAAACAAATAAATAAAATAAGGCAGGAACGATCACCACCACCACCATCATCATCATCACCCAGACCCCAGCCAGAAATGGGTCCTGGATCGCTGAAGAGGTTCAGAACTCTGGACAGCTCCCCAAGCTTCAGATCCTCCCTCCTGGTCCCACCTGTTCTGTAAAGTTCTTTGGCAATGAAATGAGCCTCATCCCTTTATTTCTGGTTATCGTAAACTTGAGGCTTCTCCTCGCCATTCTTTAATGTCTATTCTGTGAAGGAGGACACAAAGCTCTTTACCAGGAAGGCTGTTCAAAGAGAGAGGAGGGCACATTCCTGGGGGGTTGTTCTTGAGGAAATGCCCCTTTCTGGGATGAGGGACTGCACCAGATGTGGGACCCAGGGCTGGTATTCAGTGTGGCTAGGGAACGTGGCCGGCCCCATCGAGCCCCCCAGGGTAATCGCTAAGCTCACACTGGGAAAGAGCAAGGATAGAGACAGGGTTGAGGGGAGGCTTAGGGGTGGAGAATGAAGGCACTAATAAGTTCATAAGGTTGTGACGTGAGCTAAGGGTTCCACCCAGCTCAAGGGTTTATTTGAACCAGACATCTTCTGCTCTTCCTGTTACTCCAGAGCTGCCCTTGCCCCACCCAAATCCCGTCCACCCAAATACCGATGGCGACTCACTTCTCACGTGAAGAAATAACCACATCACCTCTCACTTATGATGCCCTCGGCGCACCAAGACCTTCATACCTATCGCTCCGTTCAGACCTCACAACTCTGTGAGTGAGACATTTCCAGTCCCATTTTACCGATAGGAAAATGGAAGCTCGGAAGGCAAATGACTTACTCAAAGAAAAACTGCTAGCAGTGGCAAAGTGCCCCCCACCCCAAACACACTTCCTTTCAAGAAATATTCTTCTCAGGGCCAGCGATGGAGCCTTCTATGGGTTTTTAGCCCCTCTCATGACTTGGTTGCAGTGAAAGATTCCTGACTGTCTCAAACTTGCCAAAGCTATAGACACTTCAACTCAAAGGAAGAAATAAGTGCTCTCTCAGATCTAAGCTCCTGTCAGGGCTTCCCGTACCCAGCCCTCCCTGTTCATGCCCCTGTGTGCTCCTTCCCACAGAGGAGGTGGCTGAGGGGAAGAACGCCATCCTCATCGGGATGAGCCAGTGGAACTCGAATGACCTGGTGGAGCAGATGGAGACCATGGGCAAGCTGGAGGAGCACCAAGGTGAGGTTTTGCCTCTCTCCCGACCGGGCTATGTGCACATGTGTGTTGCAGGGTGGGTTGAAGGGCTGGCCATTTGGTGCTGGGACTTGGGTCTTCTATGAAGAGCCATCTAGTTGTATGGGCACCTCCCCTCCCTGAGCCTGTGACCCCTGAATTCTGGGACCTGCAGAAACCCTCATGGGGACTTCTGTGGGATTTTCTGTGGCAGAAAAGTCCCAGGGTACTTCAATAGAGTGTCCTTTGTCCCCAGGAGCATGAGTAACTAAGGGTGGGTGGGTAACTAAAGGTAAGGATCCAAGCTCTTACCACGCCTATGGTGTTGGAGTCTTTGTTAAAGAAGATTTGTGGCAGCTGGAGGAGCCTTTGAAAGGGGACAGGGCGAGGCAGCAGTGGGGGTTGTAACTTTTTGGGCCGAGTTGTTGAAGGAGTATGTGGCTGGGAACTAATCCTGGAGGCTTTTTATGGAAAGGAGTTTTGACCAGGAGATTAATCAGCAGACAAAGCAGGCGTGTTCTTTGAGGCATCCATCCATCTGTCCATTTCCCCAATTGCATCACTAACAGAATGTTTGTTAAGCATCTACTGGGTATAAAGTGCTTATAGGAAGGACCAAGGGTGATTCAGCTGAGGCCTCTGACATGTGGCGTGTCTCACAGCGTAAGACAAGACACAAGGGTCTCAGGCTTCAGTTGAGGTTTGTTGGGCCCAGAGGGGAGAGGCAAGAATTTTAGGAGGAGGCAGGAGAGGGGGGCTCAAGGAAGGGCTCCTGACAAGGAAGCCAGGAAGCCAGGCTTTGAAAGGCAAGTAGGGGGTGTAGCTGAGGAGGTCATAAAATCTGAGGTGACATATGGGGAAACCAAGGCCGAGAGAGAAGCTCTACATGATTAACATGCAACTAGAGTGAGGCACAGAGCTGAGGCTAGAAGCTCTCAGGATCTAGGGTGCTAACCTCTATACTTGTTATCCCAAGGCCAGTTTTTCTATCCTCCCTTTCCACTCTGCATATCACTCCTCTTACTTCTCCTCTTCCTCATCTCCTCTTCCCCCCCCCCCCCCCCCCGCCCCTCTACCAGCCCTGTAACTCCTCAGTCACGGTCTGGGCCAGAGATGCTGGTCTGGGCAAGGCCAGCCTATCAGAACCTGTTCAGTGAGCTGGTCCGGGCCCAGCCCCAGAGAAAGACACATTTTGGTGTTGGCCCTCTTCGTTGCTGGCTGTCTTGCTTACAGCCTCCGCTTCTTTCCTTGCCCCCCATCCTGCCTCCTTGGTTTTGAGCCCTCCCCTTGCCAAGGTGCCCATCCTGAGATGTGGACAGGCTCAGGATGACAGTTCCATTTTATAAATGAAGAAATACAAGGCTCAGAAAAACTCTGCCTTGCCCGAGGTCCTCCAAGTTGGTGGCAGCGTCACGCACAGATCTCTAGTCTCTGGATTCCCAGACCAGGGCTTCACTTCCCAAACTTCACTGAGGCCGGGTGCCACCCGGGGCCCTGCAGAGTCAGATCCAAGAAACCCTGAGTCTTAAGGGAAACCCCCCGCAGCCCCCAGGCCCCCATCACTTCTCAGGAGGGGCAGGCTCTGAGTCTGGTCATCAAGTCCAGTCCAGCCCAGTCTTCACAGGCACGCGTTTGCATATGGACCCTTGTCTGCTCTTTCCTGCACCCCAGGAGCGCTGGAAGGGGCCCAGAAGGGGTGACGGGTTCCAGGTGCTTCCCCAGGACAGTGCCTGGGAGCCGTGAAAAGACAAACCCAGACTTGTACTCACCACCCAGCTGGTCATCCGTTTCCCTCCACCACCCTCACTTGCCTGCCAAAAAATGTCTGACTCAGACAGTGTGAGCTAAGGAGTGGGTGAGCCAGAGGCACTGTGACTGGGAGGCCAGGGGAGAAGGAGGCAGAGGGGGATGGGTGCGAGAGGCTGAAAACCTGCAGCTGTGGAATCAAAAAAGTCTGGGTCTGGAGGCTGGTCCTGCCCATCTGTGGCTTCGTGGCCAGGGCGAGTCATATCACCTCTCTGAGCCTCAGTTTCTTCATCTGCAGAGTGGGGCTAGTACAAAAGCTGTGAGGATTAAATGAGCTACACTTGCAAAGTGCATTCAATACCAGGTCGCTAGAATGCTGGAAGGGGGAGAGAAGAGTGGACGGTGGTGCACAAGCACGATTCTAGCGGATGCTCGCTAGGGCTCCTGCGAGGTCGAGTCAGGGGCTGTGCTTCCCTGAGTTGAAATTGATGCTGTTTCCTCCAAGTACAGAATGGGGAGCAGGAGAGAGAGAGAGAGAAGAGGGGGAGAGGAAGAGGTAAGCAGCCGTGTTTCCAGCTCCTTCTGAGTCTCATTCCTCAGAGGATTCATAATGTGAATTCCCACAACACGACAGAACACACACATTAATTTCATTCATTTTAACAGTCATTTATGGAGTCACGACAGAGGTTCAGCCTGGCGCTGGGAGTGGCAGTCGGGGGAGGGAGGTAAACGAGCGGCTGGCATGGGCGCTCTTTCAGGCGCTCGCAGCCGGGAGGAAGACTTGCAGTCAGACAGGCTGAGGAAGGGGCCCTAGGAGAGGCTCGGGGACTATTTGGGGGAGAGGAAAGCCTGCGAACACTTTGTGGGAAAGGCTGAAATCAAAATTGGTGGTGTAGGTAGAGCTCTACTCCTGCCTCCTTCAAGTTTCCTTCCCTGAAGCATGGGCCCTGGACTTAGATGTTCAGGATCCTCCTACTTACCTCTACCTGGATGTCCTGAAGACTCTTCATGCTTTACAAGTTCCTCCGAAACCGTAATTGTGTTTTAGCCCATCTTTGATCTCCTTTTCCATTTAAAGCCTATGTTCCTTTGGCACTTTCAGACTGTCCTGTTGTCTCCAGTTTCGGAGGGTACTAATTCTGGCTGCTTGTGTATGTGTACACATGTGAGTGCATGCTAACTGTGTGTCTTGGATTTTGTTTCATTTTTTATTGTGAACTCATCACAATCATTCCTTTTTTGCAGGAGTCTTGTGTGCCCTAGGTTGTAAAAACATCCTCCTAAGCGACTGGTCTTATGTTTCTGCCAGGCCTGAGTGTTTCACTGACCTTGGACATGTTATATGCTCAATAAACTCAATTTAGTGTTTCCATTTTAGATGAGTGGTGTAAGTTTAGATCCCGCACCCATAGGTGGCAGAAGCTTAGGGTTTTCATTGCTCATGGGTGACTTTCTTCTTTTCCTCTGTCTATGAGTGGTTTCTTTGCTGCTTCCCCAACGGAGCGTGTTTTTCTGAAGTACCTGTATGGATGGAGCAGCGCTCCAGCAATGCCTTCCACATGGGGCCGGGGCGGAGGGGGGCGGGGAGGCGGGGCTGCACCTTAGCTCCTCCCACGGGCTGAGGCCCAGGCTGTGGAGTTAACAGTGTGGTCTTCTGCCCCTAGTCCTGGAGTCTCTGCCCATCCGAATCCTCCACGGGTCCCCTCCAGGTCAGCCCTGGCTTGCGTCTCTGGGTTGGGGTGCCCTTATTGCTTCTGGCACTCGCATATGATCTATTCCTTATTTTGAGCGTGGCTGTATATTTACAGTTTGGGGCAATATATTGCCCAGTACGTAGGCTGTTTAATGAAGGGCACCCTTCAGCATCAGTTCAGTTCACTTTATTTATTATTATTTTACAATTGCATGTATTGTTATTTTTATTTAATATTTTTTAATTTGGTAAGATATACATGACATAACACTTAACATTTGCAAGTGTACAATTTAGGGACATAAAGTATATTCATATTGTTGCGCAGTTGCCATCCATTTCCAGAACTTTTTCATCGTCCCAAACTGAAACCCTGGGCCATTAAACATGAACTCTCCACTCCCCACTCTCCCCCAGCCTGTGGTTCCTGCCGCGCTGCAACCTGTCTCTAGCCATTTGACTACCCTCAGAGCCTCAGACATGTGGGATCATACAGTGTGTTTATCTTTTGCTGCCTGGTTTGTTTCACTCAGCATAAGGTCCTCAAAGTTCATCCACGTTGTAACGTGTGTCAGAATTTCTTTCCTTTTTAAGACTGAATAATGTTCCATTGTATATATCTACCATAATTTGTTTATCTAGTCACTTATTGGTAGACATGTTTCTATCTTTAGCTATTGTGAATAATGCTGCTATATATGTACACATCACTGTACAGTCACCTTATTTTTGAATACATTCTTATGGTAAACAAACAAAAAAACAAAGTCTCCTTTATCCACTTTCCATTGCAGAACTTACTGCCGAGTTTATGAATGTGGAGGGTGTCTCTATAGCAATAAGTCACGTTATGTGTTATTGCCTTCACTTCACTTTTATTTTTCATTTAATCTTGGAGAGCTTTTCCTATGGATATATATAGATTCAACTCATTTTTCTTACCTATGCTACAGTATTCTTTGCAATAAGTGGACCATAATTTATTTAATCATTCTGTAGTGATAGACAGTGGAATTTTCATTATTTAAAAAAAGCTACGTGGGTTGAAAGTATAAGCATTGACAGCTGTAATAGATGCTGCCAAAAAGTTCTCCCTAAAGACTGTGCGAATTTATATTCACATGAGCAGTGAATTAGGTTAGCCATTTCTCCACAATGTTGCTAGACTTGATCTTGTCAAACTTAAAAATTTTACCTGGTTGATGGGTGGAGATTTTTGTTGTTGTTGTTGTTTTGTTTTGTCTTTACTTGATTACTAGTGAGACTGATCATCTTTTCATAAAAGTGTTGAGCAAACCTATTTTCTCTTTTCTGAATTTCTTAAACATGCTTTTTTGCTCATCTTCTGTTGGATTATGTCTTTTTCTTACTGCTTTTTTTTTTTAGGAGTTCTTTACATAGCTTCTGGATATAAATTATTTCTCTGCTACATATTTGAAATATTTGTCTCTCAAATCATGCCGCGTGGCTGAATTTTCTTATTAGGGCTAATAGTTTGTCGGTTGACTCTCCTGAATTTTCTGGGTGTCATATCATTCACAAAGCTTAACGGTTATATCCTTGC